AGCAAGCATAAATACAGATACACACACACACACACACACACACACATATTAAAGCATAATCATTTCTCTTCCAACAACAAGGGAGTTGTAGGGAGTGTATTGAAGGGTGTTTTGTTTGTTTGTTTTATTAAAAGAAGTGTTTATATAGAAACTTAGCCTAATTTTTGTAAATTGCTGTAAAACATTTTTATCAAATAATAAAGGCGAATTGTTAGATATTAGATTGTTTATTGATGGTTGTATGGCTCACTTCCCTATTAAATGGAAACATCAGCACATAACCATTTCTCAAAAATTCCATATATACCACAGTCTTGCACAACATTTGTACAAAAGAAGCACTGCCTAATCAGCTACCTCACAGTGTAATGGAACACAAACTGGGTCATTAAAGTGTGTGTGTTTTTTTTCTTTCTGGCAGTCGCTGACTGAATACCTGAAATAAACATTTTAAAGTTCATACAAAGCAGGGATTTGTTCACGAAAAAGGCCTCGAGTTGGATATTCCACTGGGCGCTGGACTACAATCAAAGAAATAAATATAAAACATTATTAGTAATATTATAAGGGTTCTTCACGTCGAGTGATTACGAACGCTTTGCAAATCTTTAAGAAGAACCGAAACTATCGCTAAGGACTACTGAAGTTTAAACTGTATTCGTAAGTAATAGTGAAAACTTTTATCTTCGTCGGAATAAAGGAAGCTTTTTTCAATATGCTTTATTTTTTATTATTCATTTCATGGATTGTCTCCGCACAGCTAACACCAATCAGAGGTAAGACTCTGAGGATTCACAGCAGTGTGTGCTTATAGTAGGCTATGGGATATTATGTAAATGTAATCAACCTCTATAAAAGTGCGTTTCTTTTTAGAAGAAATATTTGATTCAAGCAAACAGCGCAGACTACACTGGACATTCTCACCACCAAAAGCTGTAAGTAACACAGTTTCTTTGTAGCCTATGTGGCTAATTCCATAAAGGTCTGGCTTTTGTGTTCCTCAAACAATGACTTTAACGAAGAAAGTCTGTTACCTAAAGTTTATTAGG